CCGTGCAATCTTTCATAAAACTCCACTTCACCACACCACACTTCACTTCACCGCACTGCGATACAGCGAGCTGTAATGTCTTTCTTACTCACTCGTTTCTACTCAGTTTCACGTCACTGCACTTCACGCCAGTGCACTGCACATAATAATAATAATAATAATAACAATAATAATAATAATACTATAGTAATAGTATAACAATAATAATAATACTTAATATACAAAGAAGACAGGTAATTACACGGAATTTATTAAAATATATTATAACATATCTACATTCAAGAAACTAATTTATTTTTTAAATTTTCTCAGGCTTTGAGGAAAGGAATTGAAGATTGTCACAGGCAAACTGTTCCAGTCCCTAATAGTGCGATCGCGATGAATATTTTCCAACGTCCGTTTTCTGAATTCTGTCTGAATTTTGTGCATGTGATCCGCTCTGCCGGAATATGTAGGTTTCCCTAATCGACGTTTGAATTTCTTTCCACGCTCGAAGGCCTGTGTATGCTTTATACATTGCATTGAGACAATGACTTTAATCTTCTTCTTCGAGTGACTCGCATAACCCTTTATTCTTGGTACCCCTGAAAGTAAAATTTGATGCTCTACGCTGACCTTTTCTAGATTTTTTGTTGCAAAATCTGTATGGGTCCAACATATCGCGCCATATTCTAACATAGGTCGCACTAATGACATAATGCTAGTCTTTGGCTCTCACTGTACTCTTTTTCAGTATCCGCATAACAAAATGTAAAATTTCCAGGCTTTCCCTACAACGAAATGAGACTTGTTTTTCCCAGCTCAATTTACTGTCTAGCTGTATTCCTAAGTATTTGCAAGACGTGACTCGAGGTATAACATTATTGTTCAGCTTGTACACAGATTCATTGTAACCTCGACCCCCTACCAAACCGTGATGGACTTGCCTCTTGAACTGTTTATTTCCATGCCGTTGTTTCTGCCCAGATATGTTATTTGTCTAAGTCTCGCTGCAAATATCCTCGTCTTTCTCGAGTTGCATAATCCTATAGATTACGCAGTCATCTGCAAAGAGTCGTACATTTGAAGCTAAATTAGTCGGCAATTCATTCACGAAGGCCAGAAACATGAGTTGGTCCGATTACACTTCCATGTGAATTCCTGACGGTGACGCTTCTCGAGTTGATGAGTAACTACCGATTCGAACTTGTTTCCTGTTCCGGAGTAGTTCGTTTATCCACGCTACCACTCTAGTGTCTATACCCGAATCTATTAATTTCTTTATAAGACGATCGTGTGGAACCACATCAAAAGTTTTGGAAAAAATCTATTACTATCGCGTGGACCCTACCTTTTCTGTCTTCCCGTTTCATAACACGACACGATTATTTTTAGTTTCACTTACATTTACGACAATGATGAAGAAACGAGAGCTAGAAGAGCTGATGAGAAATGTCAGGTAAGAGAGATAAATCCAAAGCCTGATTTACACGATCATTTTTCGCCGGTACAAAAAAGAGACAGACCAGACTAGATGTAATTTGTAGAAAGAAAAAAAAAATTACGCATGTTTCATTTTTCGGTACAGATTTCATCCAGTTTGACTAACGCGCTCCTGGTGTCACTTTTTGGAACTTTCTCTGGGTTGTAATGAATGTGGTTCGATTTTTTCATTGTGTAGTTTCCAGAGCGTTCTGACGTGTTCAATTGTAATGTGAAGTAATAATGTAGAGGGAAATAAATTATGTACTGTGTTCTAATGTCGCGTTCCTTGCTCAGTCCTAATATAACCTAACTTAATTTGTTACCATAGATGCGATGTTCAAATATTTAATCTTCACGCTTTTTGCGGTGTCCGGAGGAAGTATTTTCATCGCGATTACGTACTAAGCCTAGAAGTGACTATGTAAAACGCTGGAATCATTCTCATCCAGGCACCGAAAAACTACGCGTACAAACGCACCTCTTTTTTCCATCCACATTCTGTACAGAATTATAATGAAAAAAAAATGACCGTGTAAAACAGACTTAAGGTTGGATATTGAGTTATCGCTGAAATCTCTTTCCATGACCAAAAAACTTTACCTTGGAAAAGTTATTAGGTAAAGGCAATAACTATTAGGAAGTAATTGTCAAGTATGTACGAAAACATGGAAACAATTTTGTATGGCCTAAAATTCCAGATATGTTTGTCATTGATGAAAATAACATAGTGCAGATATTGCCAACGATGGTATTGGATGGACGTGGAATATGAACAATCTTTATCAAATTTACTGGTTTCAATTTAAATGACTTTTTTTTACATTCCATGATTAATGAAAAATTGCCGCTAGTATAAATATCATACGATAGAAAAGTCAACAAAATTTCTTTTTGTAATTTTTTTTAAAAAAAGAAAGAGAAATACGACGTTTAAGTCATAGTATATACTTTTAGTAGAGTATATTTAGCACTATCCCTACCAAAATTTTAAAGAAAAAAATTAGAGCCGTTTTTGAAAAAATGTTTTTGTAATTTTTAAAAATTGCACTCGGTATTTCTCAGCGAAGACTACTGAAATGTTCAAAAAAGTTTTCATGACCTTAATGATAGAATTCACTTTGGAAAACAAATTTTATATAAAGGAAAAATCCGTATCTTTAATTTTGTAGTTGTAGGAAGACACCGAAAACAATTCAAACTTTTGCAATTTTCGAAAATTCAGAGTTAACCTTGAAAATCGGACCTATGCCACGTTTATGTTATTCTATTATGTTACTCTATTCCCACAAGAAACTTAAAGAAAAAATTAGAGCCGTTTTTGAGAAAATTTTGAAAATATCCAGGGGCTTCACTAAAGTACCTTCAAATTATGAAGAATGTTTTTCAAAATCTCATAGTTTCGACTCTAGCCACATAGACAGGGGTTTCTTCAATTTGGAAAAATGGTCGGCGCTAATAGTATCCACAGACACCAAACGGACTTTTTGAAAGACACTTTTTCGATATTTGGGGACCCCAAAACGTGTACTTACGTTAAAATCCCGAAATCGATTTTCCGCAGCATTTCAGAACTTCCCTATACTACGTATATTACTCCGTATAGACGTACTTGTACGGAAAGTAAAAATAGAGGTTGTATTCTTCAAAACTACCAAAGATTGTCCAACTTGAAGGCACATACGTCTTTTTCATATTCGCTGTCGCAGAAGAAATGAAACTGAAATTAAACGGGCTTCTGTGCTACCATTTTTGGCAGCGGTTCTCAGAAACCCACCTCTCCGAACCCGTTTTCCTCAAGGATTGATGATCAGGCACTGATCATGTCATGCGAATGTTCTTTAGATCGCCAATTTTCATTTTAACTATGGAAAGTCGCTGTACTCTAATATCACAGGCATGGAAAGGCGTTGACGCGCGTCACCTAATGCTCATGACGTCAACTGAAGTCATTTAACACTATAGTACCGGCAGCATATACGCGAGTCTGACGTACATGGCACCATCTTGAGCGACGCTGAGATGGCCCGTTGTTTTGCTTTTGAAGAGTAATAAAACTGCATCCTCTGCACCAGGGCCGGATTTACCTACAAGCATAACAAGCAGTTGCTTGGGGCCCCCCGCATTTCGGAAAAATACGCATACCAATTTTTTTTGTCTGTGAAATAATTGTTAATCAAGTAGTCTACTGTGTAACAAAATGTACTATTTCAAAACATTTTTTAAAAATGTTTATTACATGTTAAATTAGTCTAATATTAACTATACTTTATTTCCTTTACTTATAACTGAATATGTAATTTTTTATGCAAACCTCAATGTACTATAATACATTTTTTATTTAATAAAGATGGAGCTATTCGGAGGGGGGGGGGCAACACAATTTTGTGCTTGGGGCCCCACCCTACTTAAATCCGGCCCTGCTCTGCACCCATGACATATTGACGCGTTTTACAGGATTGTAATTGTATGTGGCTCAATAAAATATTATGTACATCACAGATAAATTAAATCTAAAAAACATTAACACTTACTGAGAAGCAATGGCACGTCTTGAAATCATACTCTTAAGTTTCGCCAAAGCCGAACCTTATTGCTAATGTGACTTCATGCGAGTCAGATGAGCGGCAACGCCGAGCCCTGGCTGTAAGAAAGTAAACAAATCCTCGCAAGCTGATTGCTTCAGAGCAGGTCACATGACGTACAACAGCACGTGGCGAGAGAACTGCCAAAGTCGTTTATTCGCTGCTGGTACTGATCTTATGCTAAACGGCACACGAGCACTCTTGGGAGTCGTGCGTTGTTAACGCGCGTTATCTTGACACACGAGCGCTTATGTGTTGTTTTACTTCTGATAGTGTTAATCTAAAGGCGGCTCCACATGCGGCATTCGGCAAATCCCGAGTAGTGTGGAACGGGTTGCTTGCGATTCGTCGAGCGCCGAACGTTCGGTATTCGCCCTACCCTCAGCGTGTCGGTCTTTAGGCCACGTGGAAGTGAGCGAATACATCAGCTGTTCGGGATTGGGCGAGCAATAGTTCGCTGCGCTGCTCGGCGAATGCCGAATGCGTGGAGCCGCCGTAAGACGCGCGTTAAGTGACGTGTGGGCAGGCGTTGACGCAACGCTAGTGTGAACATGCCTGAAAGGGGGCAAATTGAGAAAATTGCTACTAATGGTCTGGTTGGTGGCCTGTTAACCGTGATTTCCGTATTGTATATGGGTTTCAGTGCCTATTCCATGAAAAATCAAGAATTTCCATAGTAGCTTAGGATTACAGATGTTGCAATGTGTAGACAGGGCTGGATTTTATTATTGTGTCCCCCCCCCGTAAAAATTGCTCCATCTCTTTTAAATTAAAAAACAAACATAATTCAAGTACTTTCTGTACAAACACATTTGAATACCAAATATGTTATGCCTATTTTTCTGAAACACAGGGCCCCTGAAGGGGGTCCCCCTAAGCTTGTTGGTAAATCCAGCTTTGTATATAGACTCTAATAATGGCATTACTTTAGTGTTTTGTGAATTACATTGTAACCTTAGGAGTATTGGAGAACAAGAACATAGCAATGTGGTACATGAATTGTTAACAGAAATTCATTTCAATTGGTTACTAAAACTTGAAATGTGTAAGGCAAACTTCAGGTATTGCATCAACATTTCAAAAGTGACCATAAAGAGATAGTGTTATAATGGAAAGTTTAGTACCACGACTACCACTAAATACAAGCCAGTTAACCACATCCAGTAAAAACAATTCCAATGTAATGCATGTCTACTTCACATTTTCGAATAAGTTAGAAATTGTTTTGTTTTTAAATTCTACATGCTTCCATTTTATACTTGTTTTCATTTTCTTCATAATTTGCCAAATGTTTATGATAACTATATTTATAAACATCTTGAATTCCAAAATTGTTTCATGGTGTAGAATTTACAGAAAACAGGACCCCTTGTCCAGTATTATGTACATTATATCTGCTCTATAGCCTGCCTGGTTTTTGGAAAGTACTAATTTAATTAAGTTTTCTGGGACAATACTCTTTTAGAACTTTCTTTTGTAAAATATTTTCTGAGGACGGGCAGGATAGAAAAATTCATAAAATTAATTATATATACATTTGTCATGTATTTACTAGGACACCAAAGAGAAAGAAAGCTTTTGACTTTATAACCCAATATGTATTTTGCAAATTTATTTCTTGCATATGAAATCCTGGTAGAATTGAACCCCCCCAACAGTTAGAACTAAAATAAGTTTCCAGATTTTCAATAAATCCAAGGTCAGAACAAACTTTGTACTAATTTTAATGTACTATCTTGGGGAAAATGACATTCAAATGTTCATTAAACTAGGACTCCACCTCCAGTTAAAGTGTGTCCCTGGATTCACTGAAATATCCTATTAACATGAAACACTTTAATAATTCCATTTGTAAATAGATTTGAGAAAATTTAACTTCCAGTACATCCTTGGAGAAAGATTTTAAATCGAAACTGTCCCCAGCAAACAGGAATGTGTGGGAACAGTATTAAAGAAAGTAGTTTTAAGAAATGTGCAATTTTTTAAATTGAAAGATAAGTGATTAAAGAACCGGATGTTTATTGGTGGAAGGGTGCAATTTTAATTATTCAACATAATATAACGGGGATGTGTGTTTAAATAATAATTAATTTATGATCTATATAAAAAGCAAACAAGATTTAAAATATACATCAAACAGATACAATGATACAAATTTTATGAAAATATATTACATCAACATTACATTGTCTTCTTCCTCACACCTGAAGTCTTATATGAAGGGCTTTGCATTGATAGTTGCTTAGTTACATATGTACAGAAACAGAGACTCATTTGAAAGCAGGGGCATCAGGATGACGCTCCACAATCATTGCCACACCCTGAAAAACAAAGATTGTGTTTTTGGTAAACCAGATAGTATGTCCAAAGAAAGGCTACACCTTACATTATGAACTGTCAGAGATGTATACTACCTTACAGCCAATACTTCTAGGCTGTAGGCCCTGTTATCTCTAATTACTCTAGCATGCTGCCTGTAGCCATTCTGTGACTGGCTGGTTTGACGAGGATTCTTGCACCACGGGTAGGCGCGCTGAGATGATGGATGCACAGAATGACTATGAAGCCATCTGACGCATCACTTAACCAGGTACAGGCAGCATGCATGTCTAAAAAGCAAAGCATATGAACAGTAGAACTCACCTGCCCACCAGCAGCACAAGCTGCAATAAGACCCAGTTGTCCATCCTCTCTGATCAAGCGATTCGAAGTATGAGCTGCTAGTCTCACACCTGAAACCAAATAATTTTTCTAATTAGATTTACCCAAAATTGCATCTGGTAGTTTTTGATGATGGATCAACATGTTATGTAAGTTTTGTCAATATCAGTGTAACTCCAAAACGTCTCTTAAAAAAAATCCTACAATGAGATCCCACAAATAAACCATATGTACACATCTCCAAATCTAACAAGACACATAGGATACAGCATTGTTATCTCAGCAACCAAGGCAAATAATCCTTGATGTTTATAAATTATCTACAGCAAAAACAGCTATACCCTTATTAGTAAATCAGTCAAAATTATAATAACTTTGGCTAGTAACTGCCAGTGTGTTGGACCATCTTATCAATTCTCACAGCTACAAACATACCTGAAGTAGATTTGAGAGCAGAAAATCCCTAATTCACATGACTTCAAAAACACAACTTAAAACATCTATACATTAATGACTTGTGAACAATCCAAAAAGTGTAAGTCTCTTCAGAGTAAAATTTGAATAGGACTTTTCTCTAGTTTGTGGTCAGTGCCTTGTCCATCACAAGTATCAATATTTACTCTAATGAGTCGACACACCCCTCTCCTCCCCAATTTTGAGGAGACATTCTAAGAATTTTGTTCTTTGATCTTCATTAATTTTTAAGTCCCTATTTTATAGCTCCTCGAAATTAACCACATAATGGTTTTCACCACTACCTTATTAAGTTAATCACTTTCAAACAAAACATTTGTTTCTGGTCTTCCGGATTTTTTTATGGACTATCCTTCATGACTTAAAATAATTGAGGTAAAAAAAGAAATTGGTGCCAGTTGCATGCTCATTAAACTCTTTGAATTTTGAAATTTTTCTTACACGTTCCTACAACTACAAATCAGTTCATCAAAAATAGGTCTTAAAATAGTATATGTTCATTTCTAAAAAAAAGTGTAGTAGTTGCATATTCATGTATGAAACAGAATTTGAAACAATTTTAACAATTATTTTCAAAAACCGCTGCAATTTTTTTCTTTGCATGTAGGCCTGCAAAGAAAGTGGTGTCAGTTCATTATTGGGAAAAACACTATTTTTGAAAACTGGAACAGCAAAAAATTAACATCCCAAAAGTACAATGTTGACAATAGCTTTTTTTGTTAAATTAAATATTCTAAAAAAATCAGTTCTTTAAAGGTACCATACAAAAAAATAGCAGTTCAGAGTAATTTTGCAAATTTTTAAATTTGCAAAGTCATATCTTTTGCTTCAATTACTAAAATGAGAAGAAATCAGATTCTAATTCAAATACAATGCAAGTCATGCCACAACAAAGCAGTTATAAAAATCTGAGAATTCCTCATTGTTGGGATAAGTTGTAGCTGTATGAAAGTTTCGACAGTGTAGGGAGTTGAACCAAGATCTGTTAATATGGATAGAAATTGTGATGAAATCACAGACAATAGTTACTAAAGGCAAGAAAGTTCATGCTGTTGTAGCACTAGTTTCATTTCTATCAGGCAAAACTAGAGTTTTGTATTTGCCAGGCGCATTAAGAGCGCAGCCATGACAAACCCCATATAACAAAACATCTAATCACTTATTCTTTTCACAATGAGTTTCACTTTCAGTGCCTTTCAAAAATATTACCTCTGCATTTTTGCAGTGGGTGCCAGAATACATCTGTGAATACATTATGAAAATGTGAGGTGTGATCTTTGCAGCTTTTTGTTACATCAGAGTCCTAGTTTCTTGAGATGAAGAGGTAAAATAAAAATGTGCGAAACCAAACAACAAAGCTTCATGGCGAATACAAGACAACTTTGTTTTTTTGAATTAAGATCTTTAAGAAAAAATACAAACTTAGATTCAGGTAAATAAAAAAATTCATGGAGGGCTAAGAAGGGGAACCATCAGTTCTTACCAGAACAGGTTACTAGCCTAATCCCAACATCAAGGAGGATACCAAAACAAATCATATTTCACAAGTTGGCATCACAATTTCATTTCCAAAAATAAAGATGATTTTTTAAATATTTTTCTTATACGTAAAAGACATACAATACGTACATTTACAATTATTTCAATTCATGAAATTACGTTCGTTCTTTATATATTACAATCTCCAACAATTATCTTAATAACATTGGCGTATTAGCCTAGCAGCTTAGCTCATTGCTTGCTTTCCATGATGCAATCATGGGTTTGATTCCCGGTTAGGCAAGATTACAGTGGGTGTTTTCCTTGATTCATCTTCAGTACCTGTTGCTATGCGACTATGAGAAAAATCGCTTCTCAGACTGGGAAAACCACGATTCGATGTAGGTATGTCTTGGTGCCACCCTTTAACCCATGACCATGAGGCCAGGATACTGCTGATGGCCTTTACAAGGTCTAACGCACCAAGTACAAACAAAAAGTCATTGGCATATTAGGTCTCACCTGTGGCAGCAAAAGGGTGACCAATACTTAGAGAACCACCCCAGTTATTCCACTTGTCGAGAGAAGGAACTCCCACTTTTGAGCTCCGACCCATGTAAGTTTTGGCAAACCAATCAGAGTCCATTGCCTTCAAATTGGCTAAAATTTGACCCTATGAAAACAAAAAAATTGTTATTTTGTTGTTTTTGTAGTAATTATTATTATTCCTTAGTTTGGACCCTTCAATCAACTTACAGCAAAAGCTTCATGGACTTCCCACACATCAATATCATTAAGTTGCAATCCTGCTTTCTCCAACACTTTGGGAACCGCATAAGTAGGCCTGCAACATTAGAAATACATTAATCATTCATCAGAAATCAGTTTTGCCGCCTTCAAGGATATGAACAAAGGAGTGAAAAAACAATTTCTTTCTCTGAAATTCATTTACCCTAAAAGTAACTGATCAATCGGGTCCTGAGAAACATAGATGAAGTCTCTAAGGTATGCTTTGGGTTTCAATCCCAATTCTTTTGCCTTTGCTTCTGTAGTAATAAGGCAAGCTGATGCACCATCAGTCTGTAAATACACACCAACAATAAAATTAATGGGAAGTATAATCTCACCCAATGAATAATATTTGAAAATTTTCAATTTAATACAGATGGAATGCACTTGTACTCTCAACACAGTAATGTTACAACACCTTAATGCTTACATAACATTCCTTGAAGTATAATATTAGAAATAAATGAGGCAACATGCCAAAAAATTGATGTAACATGTTTAAAGGAAGAGTAGACTGAATTTTCTCTCACCAAAAAAGATGCATTAGCTGCAGTAACCGTACCATGGGGTTTAACAAAAGCAGGTTTCAGTTTCGCCAACTGTTCAGGTGTTGAAACACGAATGCCATTGTCCTTGTCCACAATGTTTTCCACACCAGGAACTGTTGAATTTTAATACATCAGTGAAATTAGCAAATGTAAGAATTAAAACTTTTAATAATACAAATATTAATAAAAAATTAACTTGCCTTTGAATGGCACAAGATCGTCAAAATAGCCTCTGTCTTGGGCTTTCTGAGCCAACTGATGAGATCTCAGGGCATAATCATCTTGTTCTTTACGAGAAATGGCAAACGCTGCAGCCAATCTGTCACCAGAATGACCCATTGTCTCTCCTGACGAGAACTCTGCAACTGATGGCAACTAAAAACAACCAGCATATTTTCTGTTCAAATGTAAATTAACTACAATTTTTATAAAATTTACATTTGTTTGAGAAAGAATTCTCAAAAAGTTTTAAATGAATAGTACTTATAAGTTTAATTAGAGGAACACTTTCTTTGTAACATTTCTATTCAAAAACTTAAGTTGCAACAACAATACAGACAAAGAAATTCCAAATATTCATATTACCCCAGCCATCATTTTGCTAAACGAAATATGATTACTGTATTAGTACAATATTGTGGGTGAAAATTACTGCAATATCAATAGCAAACCAAGACAATACCTCCTTAATTCATTATCCATTTAGTATATGAAGTTATTTTGTTTCCGAGTAGCCGCACTGAATAACATTTAAACAAAATTTATTTTTGATGTGAAATAATTCTTGAGAATTATAGCTGCTTAATGTTCCAAGAAACTAACATTTGTGTACATTAAGTATACTTTACCTCAGGAACAAGAAAAGATGGTCTAAAGCTTGCCAGCAGAGATAATGTTTGAGGCAAAGTTTTAGCTTTGTTTGCTTTCAGCATCAAACTGCGCATCTGACGAGAGTGCCTGATAGGAACATCAGACATACTTTCAACTCCACCAGCAAGAATAACATCATAAGCTCCAGACGCAATGTAGCCAATACCTAATTGCAACAATGAACATAACACCATACACGCCTTGATCAATCTAGATTTTCTATGCAGATAGTTGCAGCTGCTTACCAGTAGTCATGGCAACATTTGAACTAATACACGCCATTGTCACAGTGTGTGCAGGCGTTTTATCTGAGAATCCTGCACACAGAGCAGCTTCTCTTGCAATATTACTGGTTTTCACTTCCTGAATAACTGTGCCATAAATGATGTAATCAATTACTTCCTTTGGAACTCCAGTTCTTTTGAGTATTTCCCTAAAACAGAATCAACTAAGTCTTAATTATGAAGGAACCCAATACTCAATTTTGTAATTAAAATCATCATTTACTTACATTAAAGCATGCCTGGCTAATTCATGGGGCATTAGCTTAGCATACTGCGTACCAGACATAAGAAACGGGGTACGAACAGCGTCGACAAAAACTATATTCTTGCCAGTTCTGTCCTGAACAGTTTTTCTCGGATACTTCTGCACATTAGAAGTTGAGAGAAGTCGTAGGGCACCTGTAAAAGAAATAATAAATACGGGAAGGCAAATTACATGCATACAGAGCAACAGCAATTGCATTTTGGTGATAGTAATAGATGCGAGATTATTTCAAGTTTAGAACATAAAACAAATTAAATACAAAAAAATTATAAAAATGAAGTCGCCGAGTAGTGTAAAAATAAGCACAACTATCCTTACCATACTGCGTTGGTGATGAAAGAACACCGCAGCATTTAGCTAAATTACGAGACACGTACGTTGCCATATTAACACTGAAGAGTAACTCACTAATTTTATCGACGATTGAAAGCGACTCAGTACGTTTCCCTTAACTATTGTAATCAACTAGGGTACTGCATTCCACAAACTTCTCTTAACCCTCCAACGGCGCGGATGACTGGATGAGAAGGTTGAGATAATGCACTTTGCTCGGACTCGGAATAGCGGCCAGTCAGAGTTCAGTCTCAATATCTCATTGGCTGGCTTTGGGCCACCGACGCAGAGTGCGCTCAGAACATAATTGCCGTTAAAACGTTTAACTGACCCGAACGAGTCATTCAGCATGTTACTCGCTGAATGTGTTCTTACAAATGGAAATTCATTAAGTTTAATTTGAGGTGATATCTATTTCTCACCATAATTAATCGAAAACTATCTAGAATTTCCTTTAAATAATAACGCTCTCGGCCATGTTTGATGACGTATCTATACACGTAACATACGAAGGAAGGGAGCGAAGTTCGCGTACGTTGCCCTTTCTCTTGATATGCCATTGAAAGTTTGTTTTGGTAGGCCTGCGCAACCGAAAACAAGAGGGGGAGGGTAACTACATTTCTAGGCCCTTACTGCCATTATTACTAGCAATAGTAGCTTAGAAGTTGCAGAAACTTGCTGAATGACACTGCACAAGGCAGATTATAAGTCCTGAAGACATCGGACTCTACTACATATTGCACATTTCACTAGAAATTGAATAAAATCTACAAGCAAGATTAAATATTTCATTACACAATAAATGAATGATTCAATGTCAAATCGAACACCCTTTTGACTTTCGGTGTTCGAAATTGATTGGAACTTATTGAAAGTGTTCTGAGGATAACTAAGAGAGGTTTAAATGTTTTTGTCAGCATTTAACTTAATTATTTAAAATGTATACCGCAAGAAATTTTCCCAAAAATCGCAAATAAAAATGCTTATTACTATATTACTGCTTCATTGATATTATAGAACTGAGATTGGTCTCAAATAAAAGCTCAGACATAAGTATTTCAAACTATGTATACTTGGATTTAATTGTTAAATATCGATCATTCATTAAATGTGAATTAATTTTTAAAAAATAAATTTTATAAATTTCGAAAGAAATAAATTTTATTTTAAAAATTACTTCATATTCTCATCTTAAAGAACTTCAGCTGTGCAAAATTATAAATTGGGATATTTATGAATAACGTAGGTAATAAAACAATAAATAAATAAATTTAAAAAAATTGAACGCGTGCGCAGCCACATGGCACATAGTATACTGGAGATTTTTAAATATGAGGACTTATTATTATATAAGGAGATTGGATTGAAACGTGAACAGTCAGCAAAATCTTATAATCTTTTTAAATGTCTAGATACGAGTTCTAGAAAGATGTGAAAAAATATTTAAAAGTTAAAAATTCAGAAGTCTCATACACACTCTTCCAGTTTATTTATCTTGATTAATAGAATTCGCGATTAGAATTGCTGGAAATTATTTTCAATAAAGTTTCTGGAATTCTCAATTATTTCCTACGGCAACACAGAATTTTCACAAATAAAAATTCCCGGCCAAGACAAACCAAGTAGCCTTCTCTCCGAAGACTTGAGCCAGTACTCCTCCAATTAGGCACCTCGGTCATCCCGAGGACATGTGATGAATACATCTATAATTGTAATAAGTGTATTGTGGTTTGTGTTGTAGAATTATTGAGCCGAATAAATGAGAAAATGTGAAAAAAATGTTTTTCGGGCGACAAAATGAAAGCAGCCGTGAAGATAATTAGGCTTGTCGCAAAAGCTAATAAAGAGTAAAGAGACTAGAAAGCTAAATAGGGCGAGAAAGTCAGTGCCATTATATAGCCTCTAGTAGTTTTTATGTATTATTTATTTATTTAAATAGCTAATTTTCTACAAACAAGTTTTTCTGAGGCAAAAATATCAATTTTATAGTTTTAATTCGTTTTTGCAATTTTTAAAAAAAATGAGAAATACCCCAAAATGGGACTAGCACTGTATTTCTTACCGTCCACACACGTGGAGAAAATTTAAAGAAAAAAAATGGAGTGGTTTTTGAGAATTGTTTTTAAGTTATGTTTGTTCATGACATTTTCTAAAGAAATAATTTTGTACAACAGTCATTGTCTGAGAAAAAAAATCTTTAATTTTGTATTTAAAAAAACATTTTTTGTAATTTTCGAAAAAACCTAGCGGTACCCGAAAATGGAACTAGCTCCATATTTCTTACGGTACCTTATTACATATGTGGAGAAAAATTAAAGAAACAATTTGGAGCGGTATTTCAGGAAATTTCTAACAACTAATTTTTATATAAAATTGTACATGACCTTTTTTAAAGGCCTAATTTTTTGCCATAGTCTTTGTCTGGTCCTAAAATATCTATTTTCAAGTTTGTATTTTTTAATTATAATAATAATTATTAGTATTATTACTATTATTATTATTATTATTATTATTATTATTATTATTATTATTTTGCAATTTTAGAAGTATCGGGGATGTTACCGAATACGTATGAGTCCTGCACCCTACACGCCTTTTCACCATTGAACAACAAAATTTAATCAAAAAAATTGGAGCCTTCTTTTTTTATTTTGAAAATGTCCGAGAGGCTTCATGTAAAATACTTCCCAAAAATTAAAATATCGGTTTCAAATTCCAGAGGTTGCGACATTAGCCAGATCAAGGATAATATCAAGTTTGCAGAAAATCGGCTGAACGGTTTAGCCGATAGCGTTAGCCGCAGGCAACCAGAGACGTTTTGCCGTCAATCGATTTTTCAGTATCAAGATCCAACAATACATGTATTCTAGCTACACCAGGAGTTAGAGGATTTTTCCTAATTTTACCAACAGGATTTAACCAGTTTTTCGTCACCAGAACGCGGCAATAAGTTTTTTCAGTCGAAATTTCGGCGTTTTCTGGCGCACGATTACGTAACTTTTTCTTTCGGCGGAGAATTCGTAAGGCGAGATAAAGAGGCCAAGTCAAATTTGGAGACGTTTCTGAGAAAATTTTGAAAATACTCCAGTTAGTTCATGTAAAGTACCCCCAAAGATTACTCCTTTTTCAAAATCGCAGAGTTTCGACTCAGGACAGATGGACAGGGGTTTCTCCAATTTGAAAAAAAACTCTCTCACAATGTTTAGGGGCTAGTGTTGTTCACACAGATAAGACAGATAGACGGACGGACGGATGTTTTAAAAAGAACAACTTTTTCGGTGTCAGGGGACCCCAAAACGTGTATTTCCGTTGAAGTCTCAAAATCGATTTTCCGCACCATTACATAACTTTCAATATTCTACGTTTATTACTCCGTATATACGTTCGTATACGGGAAAGTAAAAAGGTTTTGTAAAAGGGTACGTCCTAGGAAATGAGATAATATAAATTTGAGATTTAGTTATATCCAGTGAAGACCTTGAAGTGTTATTGATAAACATAGTGCTAATTATTTAAAAAATGTCTTATGCCGCGAGTTGAGGGGGAAAGGGAGGACCCCAACTACTCGTGCAGGCAAAAGCGAGACAGAGATAGTGCTAATAGTAGTTTATGGTTTACCCCGGAAGCGTAGCTCTCGCCATGAGAGTGGGTGGCGGCGCGTCGGGTGCCTCGAGCATCACTGGTGGTAAGACGTGTGGAAGAGGGGCGAGGTGTGAAACCGTCGCCTGTAACTCGAGCAGGGGAAAGTGGGGCAGAAGTATAGTGCTAATAGTAGTGAGGGAGCGTAGCCTTCGTCTAGAGAGTGGGTGGCGGCGCGTCGAGCAGAAACTACTATTAGCATGCACTACCTACATGTTTGTTGGTTACCCGTCTGATAATAAATATGTTATCAATAGATTATCTCACTCGATCTGAGCTCGAAAGGTGCGACTTTAAGGTCTCTTTCTAGCCGTTTGCAATATTTTCCCATTCACTCGGCCAATGCTGCTAAGAACAATTACTATAGCCCTATAGTTTGTACATTGTTTCTTACCGGTAGAGATGGCTCAGAGCATCAACAGATATCATAGCCGTCCCTCTGGCCGGGAGGTTCTAGGTTCGGGACCCGACGGTGGCAAGATTTTCGAACATAGCTTGTCAGCTAGTCGCTGTCAGGAGAATTATAACGGCCAGCTGCGCTGGTCGGTATTTTTCCATGTTTTCTCCGATCAACACCAGGCGAATGCCGGAGCAGTACCCCACAAAACGGGCTAAGGGCCGCGCGCGATCTTTCCTACCTCTTCCTTGTCCTATCGTCTCCCCTTACACACGCTAACACACACAACACAAGCGCATATGCCGGGGAAACCGGTTGGGGGCTTAGAGCTCGTCCCGGCTAGGGCTGTGCTCCGCGCGTGGGAGATACGAAGCTGAGGAAAACTGCTAGTCGGCGCCGGATCTCGCCATTCAGCGAGAGAAAGAACATCGCCATCTCCATAGCAAGACTATGTACTACACTTACGGGACTAATGACTGGTAGTTAACGTACCCGGATACACTAAAACAATCAATCAAAGAAACACTGTTTCCTATCACATTTCTTGTATATGTTAGAAATGTATCCTTTCTTGAAGTCCTTTGGTTCTTCTGCTAAACGTGCATTGAATAAGATGCAATAATGTACTGTGTCCAGTACATTTCAGTATCTTCGGTAATTTTATTCTTATCAACAGCTGCTTTTTCATTTTTATATATTTGTATTGTTTTTACTGAAATATATCCCATATTCATAAGGGCAGGTGTCTTGAACTCTATGTTGTACTATTAGTAGGTGTTAGCCTATTTTCTTTCTATTTCTAAAGAAGCTGGAGCAAGCATTCTTCATTCTACTTATGTCTCAGGATTAGGTTCTTTTCTGTCGGTTCACGTGTTTATAATTTTGATTTTAAAGATGGTCCAGTTAGCATAGATAGACTATAAACGAAAACGGCATCAAACAAACGGAATCAGAACATTTGGTAATTTGAAAAATATGAAAACCACTTATCTTGAAGAAATGTTTTGAATTTCAACCACGCAATTCTTTATTGTTGGTCGACCATACGTAGTAGTGTCAAATTTGGGCGCAATCACTGTAGTTGCAGTAATTTTTTCCGTGTCACATACGATTGTAAGCAATTCACATTATATAATGAATTTTATGACATGTCTGTTATTGAACGAGTAATTCAAAATATGTAATTACAAATGGGAATGTGTTCCTCCTCTGATAGAGAAATGTTCTAGTATTTGTTACTTTATTTATATGTTTAAAAATGTTGGAGGCTAGTGTCCTCTTGAAAACGCAAGAACAAAATTATTTACATTTCTCTCTAGAATAGGCATACTAGTACATTCTTCTTTATTTAACTTTCGTAACTTTAAAAGAAATATACATTTCTGACCCAATGAGGACAATAATCTCCTGAATTAAATGTGATAAGCTTTTGCCAATAACATATTTCTGTAAT